GGCATTTCCGTGCTTGTTTTGTTGAGCTCAGTAGGTGTGGGATGTGAAACAACCTCTGTGGTGTTAAATAGATTTGGTCCAGTGCCAGTTGTTGCTGTTGGGGTAGTAACATTTTGAGACGGTTGTGTTGTTGACATTGTGGGCATTTCTGTGCTTGTATTGTTAAACTCAGTGATGGTGGGGTGTGAAACAACCTCGGTGGTGTTAGATGAAATCAGTTCAGTGATTGTTGATAATCCTTCAGTTACATTGTTTTGCTGCAGTGGTGTTGTTGTCATAGTTGACATTTCAGTACTTGCATTGTTGAGCTCAGGGGTTATGGGATGTGTACCAACCTCTGTGGTGTAAAAAGTAGTTGGTCCAGTGACAGTTCTTGGTGCTGGGTTGGTAGCATTTTCAGGCATTTCTGGCGATGTCATTGTTGCCATTTCTTTATTTGTGCTGGTAAGTTCAGTGATCGGGGGATGTGAAACAAACTCTGTTGCCGTAGATGTAGTCGGTCTAGTGCCAGTTGTTGGTGCTGGCATGGTGTTATTTTGGTGCAGAGGTGTTGGTGTCACTGTTGGGATTTCTGTACTTGTGTTGTCAAGTTCAGTGATCGTGGGATGTGAAACAACCTCTGTGTGGGTAGATGTAGTCAGTCCAGTAACAGTTGACGGTGCAGGGGCGGTAATATTTTGGAGTGGTTGTATTGGTGCCATTGTTGGTATTTTTGTATTTGTGTTATTGGATTCCGTGGTGATGGGATGTGAAATAACCTCTGTCATGTTAGATGTAGTAGTAGTTGATGGTACTGCGGTGGTAACATTTTGAGATGGAGGTGTTGTCATTGTATGTGTTGTATACGCAGTCAGTCCAGATATAGTTGATGGTTCTGTAGTGGTAGCGTTAGTAATCTGCTGTTCAGTGGAAACCAAAGTGGAATTAAAAATTGTTGCACCTGCGTGAAGTGGAGGAGTTTCCATATTAGTTGATGCAGGGTATGTAGTTATGCTCTGTGTAGTTTGTAAGCTGGTGGTTGTTGGATTTGTTGCTGTAAAGGTATGAATAGATAGATGAATCATGCAGCTTTGTTCTGTTTTGAGGAAGATTTAAAATTTGCTCATTCAAACTTTAACAGAATTTGAGTGACAACTTTGCTCAAATAATACAAAAAAGAGAGAAAACAACATACCTGTCCCACAAATGACTCTGTGTCTGTTATTGCAGTTCCGAGTGGACCACTTTCCATTGTTTCCTAAGTCAGCTGTTACACAGTTGCCATTGCTACCATAGTTGGGTTCATTGGCATCCCAAAAGCGGAATGATGAGTTACTGGCACCCGACCATGTCCACGGATCTTTGAAAAGGCCAATCCACAACCTTTCAGAAGTGGATATGTTGCGGACAGCTTTATTTTCCTCTGCTGAGTGTATTGTAACCAGATCAGATGAAAGGTTCCAGCAATGACTGCGAGCATCCCTCCACGATTTCTTAACCTCAACAAAGATGTAAGTGCTGACATCCCCAATACCTGGAAAAAAAAAGAAGACATTGATGCTTTGAATGTGTTATTCTCATCACTCATTTCCAAGTGCACCAAGTGATAACTGGGAACATCATTGTAAAGTTTTATTATTATTTATTATTCCAATATTTTAACTTAAAAAAAAGTACAATTTATATATAGGAACAAATTATTATATGCAAAGCATTTGATAATTATACATTACAGCTAAAGAGAGCCCAAAATGTAGTTTTTCCAGACACTTTAATGTGACAGAAGACCAATAAAAAATGCTTAGTGCAGTAAGATTATGTTATGGCCCATACAATCAAAGGAAAAACTTTTTACTTGACATCTGTCGAGAATTGTCTGACAACAGCAGACGGCGATTGATGTCTTGCAGAAGGAGGTTGGGTGTGAAAAGGTAATTTCTGAAGAAATCAGAAGTATTCATTCACAGAAAATGTGATAAAAAATTGAATGTGAAAGGACAAAGTGTGGTAAAGGATTGTGTGCAAGCAACTGGAATATTGTCAGCCTTAAGTGTATTGTGAAGTAGTCCTCATTCAAGAGTTTGAAGGGGATTTGGCGTGGACTAAAGCTGGAGTTAATGTTTACAGACATGTCCAGGACAAGGACTTCAATTGTCATTAGTTATGTTTAGGCACTCCTGAACTCTAGACTTTTAGAATGGTCTTATCTGAACTAAGGAAAAAAAAAGGATGCAGCTATTACTCCATTGTTCAAAGTCCTCTTTTCAGGTGACTAATATCTTTCTTCTTATTTGAAAAATTAAAGCCAAGAATCTAAAAGAAATATGAAGAGGTCCACAATTCAAGTTGCTAGAAGTCCAGTGTAAAGTCTACACTCAGTCATGATTTGGGTAACTGTGTCATCTACTATTGTTGATCTTGTGCTGACTTGATAATGACTTTATCAAGTCCAAAATCATTGCAACCATTGATTAGGAATTATTTGAGCTTGCTTCCCTCTGCTGAAAAAACTATGGAAATACAGATTTCATTTACTAGCAAAACATTGGTACACGCTGCCAAAACTTGCTTTAATGACCAAGGATTACTTGACTCACCTGAATTGAATCCCATAGAGAATCAAAGGAGTATTGTCAAGAAGAAGAAGCGAGACACCAGACCCAAGAATGCAGATGAGCGGCTATTATAAGACCTGGATTTCTTTAAACTTCCAGCAGTGCCGCAGGCTAATTGTCTCCATGTCACATCACAGTGATGAAGTAATTCATGCTAAAGGAACCCTGAACAGGTACTCAGTGAAAATACTGTGCAGTATCTCAACATACTTTTATGTTATATTCAAATTGTCTGAGAAACTCTTTTTTTTTTCTTTCTTTTTTTACCAACTGTAATCCATAGACATCAATATCAACAAATAAGTGCTGAAATATATCACTCTGTGCAAAATGAATCTAATGAATATATGAGGCCATGTCCACTGGGAGACAATTTTAGGTGCAGCTGCAAGCATTTCTTTTTTATCATTTAGGCTGTGTGTCCACACCGATGCAGCAACTTATGAGACTGGAAATGATCATTTTTGAAACTAAGTTCCAGAATGGATAAATTTTCAAAATGTCAGTTCTATGTTTCCATGTGGCAATATGAGACACTTTGTTTGTTTGTTGATTCATTTGTTTCATTTCTTTATCTATCCCACATGTGCCTGTCTCTCAAAATAACAGACTTGGTGCCATTTGGTGTGTTTTTTATTGTCTTTGTATGGCAGTGTTTTAGCGCCACCAGCATATCAGTGTCAGTAGAGATGCATTCTGTCATGTGGAGACAAATGTTTTTTTCCCAAAACATTTACAAAAATTCACCATGCTCATCTCCATGTGTTCAGGGTCTGAATTTCATTTTAAAAAAAATCAATTAACGGATTTAAAATTACTGATATTATCATTATTTGAGATAGACTTTACTATCACCTACCTTGGCAAACAAAGCTCTCTGGAGTTTGACAGTCATTTTCAAGCCACTTTCCATTTTGATTCATTACTGCACATGCTTCTTGTTCGTTATCCTGTGGTTCTCCAGTATCCCAGTTTAAAAAGCTTGTTCCTCGATCAGACCCAGTCCAGTGCCAAATCCAAAGGTCTCCAACCTCCAGTCCTATCCAAATGTTACGACCAGATGGCAAAACTAAACTGAGCATGATATTAACTTCTGCTAAATTGTAAACAGTGGCTACATCAATATTCATGTTTCTACAGTAACTCCTTGCATCGTCATACTTCATCTTCTCAGTGGTTAGCTGAAAGCCTGAAGATTCCAGCGGAGACATGGAAATCACTGTGAAGAGTTAAACAATAACTTTTAAACCGAGTAACAATCACAACAACTGTATAATTTGTACATTTGCATTGTTGTTATTAAAAATAAGCTTTTCATCAATATGACTACTTCTTCAATATTAATGTCTTAAATAACCACATATTCTCTACCAGGAAAGCAACAAACAAAACCCGTTTTGTACTTACCTGAGGTAATAATTAAAAACATAGTTGAAGTCCTTCTAGTTATTAGCCATATTTCAGTCATGATGAAGGTTCACTTGGGTTAAAAAAGATCAAGTAAACAATGTCGGAATATAACCATTTGCTGCTCCTATCAAAGGGTTCTGGCATGCAGCTTTGAGCAGCAAAGTGTCGATAGTAAGAATGCCACCTGGTGTGTAAGAAGATACTTTCCCAGGAACTACTTGAAGCAAAAGCAGTTTGTCAAGTTTCATTATCTTATACATACAGTGGTATGTGGTTTGTTGAGATGAAACAACGCCTTCTTCTGGCATTAGCTGCATACTTATTATAAACTAAAATGAACACATTAACAGATAAGAAAAAACAGAAAATATTTTAAAGGAACATGTCACATTTGGGACTATTTTGTAATTACAAGCTTCTGTTTACATTTTTAAAAAGTAAAGTATGTTTTAACATGAAATTGCATGGAAATTTGAACCCCAAATTAGATACTTTGGACGTGGAAGACTTCTGTAAACAAAATAAGTGGTGTAAAAACACATTGTGCAATATATCCATTCTCTCAAGGAGGGGAAAAGAAAAGACATTCCAGCTACTATGAAGGTGTGGCCGTTATAAAACGTTGCTTAGATTGACTACAGACTGAACAGTGAGCCATAAACAGAATAACTAAAAGCAACACATTGTTTCTATTTGAACTGCTTTTTAATAATCCACCATACCAAAACCACAGCACTCAAATACTTACTTTTATCCGGCAATGAAACTTTTATCTCAGTCTGGTGCTGTACCATTTAAATACCACTTGATGTTAACTGTTACTGGAAAACTATTTACTCAATAGCGCAATGAAATATGTAAAAGGGAATTTGCATTTTGTTTCAACGCATTATTAAATAAATAATAAATAATGAAGCGTTGATAAAGAAGTTAAACATCATAGGTGTCATATGACAGCGCTGTTATGGGTGGTCCCATGAGACATTTTGGCTCTGGTGGATGATGGCTCAGAGCCAACATGGCCTGTAAACAACAACAGCAGCGTCAAAGTAAAGTTAACTGAATCTGATTGTCGGCGTGTAGTCTAGTTTAAATTAGAAGATATAACGCGTGGTGGTTTTTCAACAATGCTTCGAAAGTGCATATGGTATGTAACTCCAAACACAAAACTATCATAGACTAGACTTGCCACCACACTTTCTTGGAGCTGTACGTGCTCTTGGCTAACTCTCTTAGCCGCGTTAGCCAAGTTAGCATGCTAACTTGCTAGTCTTATCTACCTAAAGATAATTCCTCGAGTTGGGTTTATTTGGGTTCGTAGTGTGGGGTAAAGCGAAGTGTTGTTTGTATTTGAATTGAGGTGTTTTAACTTTGTCTAATTGCTTTCTGAAAATATTAAAAGCTAACTTTCTGACGTCGGTAAGCAAAGCTAATGCTAGCTAAAGATGTCTGGTTGCGAAGCTTGTTAAGAGTTAAGGTTTTGCAGTCAAATATCCCTTAATAAAATCAACGAAGATTGTACATTTGTTGGCTTATAAAGTATACAATCTTAATGTTTGGGGAAAAAATGCACTGGAGCTTATTTTTTACTTACTAGTTTTGTGACGTATTTCATTGGGCAGCGGTAATGCGCTTGTATAGCATTTAGCAAATGTGAAATTCTGTTGATAAATAAAGCGAACTAACACTGTGTTGGTTAAATACATCTTTTTAGCACACGTGCTTAAAGATTCAATGCCCCATCCTTCATTATTAGTCATCATACCATATAACATGTTTTGATTTAGCTGTAGTTTTAGGACTTATGGATACGCGACATCTCTTAATGCATTGATCTATTACTGTACTACTTGTGCGGTAAAATAATGCTGCACGTCAAAACAAGCGATGGCATTTGTAAGGACAATAAAGTAACTATTTTAAGTGCTAAGATCATGTATGAATATTGAGAATTAAGGCATTTGTAGCATTTCAAAAGCTGATACTCCGTGGTAATTTACACGATAAACTTTGAAAATGTCTTATCCAAAATCTAAAAAAAAACAAAAAAAAACGCGGTTGTAATAATTTACCGAAATTTTGGTATCGTTAATTTACATATGCAAAAAAAATCACTTTTGTTTCTAATATATTTTTATCATTAAAATAACAACAGTTATTAGGTCTATACACATAAAAAAATAATAATTCAGCTCCTTTTTTGAATAGTAAGTGAAACACGTTTTCGAGAGGAAGGCACAACCAGTAGTATGAATACAAATCAAACAATTACATCAAAAACAGCACTTGCAGTGACTTTAATCTATGTATTGTTTATACCTATGCTTGGTGTTTTGAAATCATTGTACTCTCTCTGTTGTTTTCCATCAGTTTGCAGCATCATTCATTTAAAACAAATACACAAACAAACTAAAACAACCATAAATGTTTTAGATAACCTCTACCAGTTGACTCTTGCTTTGCTAACTTCATCTTCTTGTGTCAACCTCAGATTGACATCCTGAAGACGGAACATCATTCTCTTCAGCGGGTAGCTTGCGAGCCATGTCCGCACCTCAACCTAACAGCTCAGCCTCCAACAGCCCAACCAACTTCATAGGTTCTCCTTTTTCAGTGATAAGTCCTTCTCTCAGCTCTCCGGTGGTATCTCCCTCTCTGGGATTTGGACCCATCAGCAGCAGTCAGGTATCTGTTAGGTAGCTGTATGAGTAATTGTACTCATCTATTTGGGTCTGAAAATGATTGTATTGCAAGAAGTCTCGCAGTTGTTTTAGAGCGCCTCGGATGAGCTTTACCGTTTCTTAAAACCTTGTGTTGCCTTTTCACCACCATTTCCATTTTTCACTCGTACACAAAAACAATTTTGCTGTCATTCGACTTAACCAACGTACATCAGTTTATTTCTCTTGGTGGTTAAGCATTTTTGTTGAATTGTCAAAATAGACTATCACAATCTCGTGAAACCAAATTTAGAAATTTAGAGGAAGAAACTATTGCAAAATATGTAGAAAATGGCATAAAATGTTCTATTTTAAATAGCTCCTTACAGCATCCAAAAGAGTAGGGAGCAAATTAGGATGCATTGATCCACCTTTATTACTTCTGATGCAGATACACGAGGTTTAGTATCGGCCAATACAGATATGACACAGAAAAACATAGCTGAATTGACTTGAAATGTTTTTGTTTTAAAGCACAAACATATTTATAATTCAAATTCAAAATTGGACATAGATATATTCAATTATTTGATAATTTATTTGACAACTCTGCACCATCACAGCACACTTAATTACACAAGTAACTTCACAAGCTTGGTAAAACATGTAAAAACAGCACAACTTAATTTTGTTCAGTCAGCGCAATTAGGAGTACAACAGTCAATGTAAAATAGATAATAAAGAAACTGAAATGGACACAAACAATAAGGTTAAGTACCTTGGCTAAACATGTAAAAAAAAATAAAGTGCATTGAACCATCAGATGGTTCAGAAAGTGCAATTAGGAATTCTAAATATAATGTTAAATAAGCATTAGAATTAGACAGTATAGATCTGCTCTTATGGATTGAGAACATTGCCATTGATTGCCGACCTAGAATTTTTGTCAACATTCAGGCCCATTAATGAGTACAAGTGTTTCTTCAGAGTGTGATGCATTGTTGGAATGTTTTTTTTTTCTTTTATTACTTTAACTTGGCTTTTAACCAATAGAATTATTGTACGTCTAGATTTCGTCGTCAGCACCAATATCAGGGATGCATTCAGTCAGCAGCTCAGAAGATATTAAGCCTCCATTTGGCCTGAGGCCCATGCAAGCTCACAGCCCGGGAATAATGATGTCTCAGAAACGACTGTGTGTGATCTGTGGCGACCGCTCTTCTGGTGAGTGGACTGTTGAAAGGCAGCACTAGTTTTCTGTTTATTACTGATTAAAATGATCCAAAATGTTCCTAAATCTCTTGCCTTTCCTCCCTCGTTTTGTTTGATCGTCTTAAGTTTCCACTCACCTGTTTAATCTTCAGGCAAACACTACGGCGTGTACAGCTGTGAGGGGTGCAAAGGTTTCTTTAAACGAACTGTGCGCAAAGACCTGAGCTACACCTGCAGGGATAACAAGGAGTGCCTGGTGGACAAACGCCAGCGCAACCGCTGCCAGTACTGCCGCTACCAGAAGTGCCTGGCCATGGGTATGAAGAGAGAAGGTACGCAAGGAGAAGTGTCAAATATAACATCCACTAGTTGTTGTTGTTGTTGTTTTTTTGTTTTTTTTTGTAGTGTGATGAACTATGGCTGTTGTTAAGAGTTATTCAAATAGTCAAAGTAGTTTTGGATTGGCATCTTACTTTTAGAGAGAGTGGATGTTGGCTTGGACAGAGATAGATTTATTGGACCTGGGGTAAAAAACAACAAACAAAAAACTAACGCCTCTTTGTCTCTTCCCTCCACTTTCTCCAATTCTACCCTTTCCCCGTCTGTCAATAGCGGTAAATCCTATAAAGTGGAAAAACAAGGATGGAAAAGATGAGGGATGGATGAGTATGTTGTCTAAATTTCAGAGATTCTGTATCTTAAATCTACCTCAACATTTATCACAGAAGAAAAATGCTAAGCAGTGATAGGCTCATGTGTGACTTTGTGCTATAGTGTGGAAACGAGAGACAGCTAGTGCACTTGGCTGCCTAGTGATGAAGGACCGCTCTGTTAGGCAGCTTACAGCCGTGTGCTCGTTTTGTGAAAATGAATGAAAATCCCATCTGTGTTGACAAAGTAAAGAATATGGTTGTTCATATTGTTGGTATGCTACTAGAATCCCAAAGCATGTCTTTTAAGCCTTGCATGCATGTACAAGCCCATCTTAATTAGATAATTAGATTGCATATTTAGGCACAAAGGATTCTGTTCGCTCTGATCAGTGACACTTGATTACCTTCAAGTGTCACTTTTTATTACTTCTCATCCTCGCAGTAATATCGAGATGATTTCTCACAGGATCTGAGTGAAGAGAAGCCTGAATGTTAGCACTTTTGGCAACTAATGAAAAGTCCTGTTATTAATCACTCTTCTTTTGATTTGTCATTATAATTGTCTGTCTTGAGGTTTCCAACAAACAAAATGTAGCTATATAAGGCGACATTTACACAGGAAATTGAAGCAGAAATTTATAGCATCTAATGAAATATTGTGCACTCAAAATGGTAGAGAAAATTATTCCTACTGATTTCATTAATGACTAATTTAGCATGTTAATTACACTAAAATATAGCTGTGACATTTCTGAATCTAAATAGAAAATTTCCCCAAGAACTTTAGGCACATTGTAGTTGAACGTCTGTATCTCCCTTCCGCATCAGGCTTAAATTTATCAATCATTCTGTGATTTCTTTTGAGTAATCGAATATTAAACTAAAGTCACTCCCTGTAGATAACTTCACAATTAGACAAGAGCCTCTTATTGTTGGAAAACAACTGGCCTTGAAAATCCTGTTTCATTTGGTAATAAATTATTTCGCTGTCATCTTCTGATTATGGGAAAGATACAAGCTGTTCTCTGTGGGTGGATTATAACTACTCCACACCCACAAGATTGTCTTCATTTTAGGTCTACATATTTTTGCTGACCTAATTAAGTGTCTGGCATCACTGTCGCACTGCATGACTCGGCATGAGCCAAAGCCTTTTTCTTTCATGACTAACAAGAATTTGTGGCGTGTCTGTGGAGAACTTTTGTTCTGTTCTGATTAGGTTCCTGCTTCTGGTGTTATTACTAGTGAATTATATCGGGCAGAACACCGGGCACAAAGAAATGTCGAGGGCGTTTGGGTTCTGACCGACCACCCCGGTGCTGAATCCATCCATCTGTCCCTGTCCCTAAAATCCATTTTATTCTGTTCCGGGTTGCAGTTTGTCCCAGCTGTCAACAGGCAAGCGGCAGGTTACACTGCGACAAATCAGCAGTGGATCTTGCAGCGTAATTACATTTATTTTATATTCTTGGGAAATATCTTACTAACTTTGGTGAATTCATGGAGTGTGGCTTGCAGCTGTGAGCTGTTTGATAATTGGATACGTTTTGTAACTATGCCTCCCCCTAGTGGCAGACTTTGATGTAGAAATGCAGGAAACTCCAAAGGGCTCACTGTTAACGTTGAGGTTGCAAACTGATCTTTTTTTTTTTATTATTGTGAAAAAGCTCGGTTGCTGTATGCTGTTGATCAAAAGGAAGAGGGAGGGGAAGAGGAGACAAACATTAAATATTAATGCAGATAATCACAAAATTTCTGCAGGGTTTTACATTGAATTACCTCAATTTTAGGCTTTCAAAGGGGTTAAGTTGTCCAGATTTTGTAAGCCAAATTATTTTAAGTTTATAGTTCATCTTGAGACTTGTTTACATTTAGCCGTTTTTTGCAAACTCACAACAGAATAGTTCTCAAAACTGTTTTGGTGTTCGTTTACAGAGTTGAAATCAAAATGTTCTTGTTAGCCTTTTCCACTGCATTCTCTGTTATGGCAGAGTGTGACTTGAACAGGAACAGATTTAAAAATTAGAGGTTTTAGTAGTTGGCTAAACTTTGTCATCATTTCATGTTAAAAAGGCATTGAAATTAGATAAGCTGTGTAAAAGCAACTAACTCACATCCCAGATATATGTGAGAATGTGAAATTAAAAAAAGTTGTAATAGCCTAACGTAAAGTTTCAAAGTTAATATTAAGCCTTGTTATTATTTAATTTGAAAGAAAAAAAAATGTATTTTAGAAAAGAATAACTTCTAAAATTATAAAACCATTCAGTTAAAGCAGAATGCAAATATGAGCTTTCATGTTGGATTGAAAGCCAATGAATCCAAAAGTCCATTAAATCTCCCTGTGTACATTCTGGAAGTGTTTCTTTGTGTTTGTCTGCTGCAGCGGTTCAGGAGGAGCGTCAGAGGAACAGAGAGCGCGAGGGAGAGCTGGAGTTCAGCTCCGGAGTGAACGACGAGATGCCTGTGGAGAAGATCTTGGAGGCGGAGATGGCCGTGGATATGCGGGTGGACCTTCACTCCGATAGAGGGTCTGCAGGAAACTCTGTGAGTTGTTGGAACACTGCAATCAATCCATTTTAGTGATTTTTTTTTCTTTTTTTCCCCTTCAATCCCCCGTATTTTTCTTAAAGATAAAACAAAATCGGCTTTATTTGTTTTGCAAGTAACCAGGAAGTAATTGTGATGTGTTTTGCAGCCCCATGATGCCGTTTCCAACATCTGCCAGACTGCTGACAAGCAGCTGTTTGCTTTGGTGGAGTGGGCAAAGAGAATCCCTCATTTCTCAGAGCTGCCCCTTGATGATCAGGTCATCCTCCTGCGTGCAGGTACGAATATCGACTACCAGCTTCAAATTAAAGTTAGCACATTCAGATTCTGTTTGGAGAAAAGGTTAATTGCTGCTATAGAGAAACAAAGTAGCTCTGTGGCATGCCAGGGTCAGTTAAAGTATTGACTCATGCTGTGTGAGAGATTAATTCAAGAAATGTGGGAGGGGGGGTGGGAATACTAAATATGTGAGGAGCAGTGTAAATATCTTGAATAGTCAGGGATTGGTACAATGCTTTTATAAAATTCTTTGTGGCAAATGTATGCAGTGTTCAACTCATTGTAAACCGAAAGCTTAAATGAAACAGCAAAAGACAGAGTGGTTTCAACCTTAGACTGGATGGAATCACTATAACCCAGCAGTTTTCATTCAGGCATGTGTTACCTCTGAATAGAGTTGTACATAAATAAACAGGAGAATAATTATCTGCACTGCTGCTTGTGTTTGTCAGGCTGGAATGAGCTCCTGATAGCCTCGTTCTCCCATCGCTCCATCCCTCTGAAGGATGGCGCTCTGCTGGCGTCCGAGCTGCAGCGTGACAGCGCACACATGGCCGGAGTTGGTGCTATTTTTGATAGGTACGTTTACATGGACAAGACGTTTCCAGAATGCTTAAAAAATAAATGACAGCTACCATAATTAGCTGTCATGTGACTAAACTCATAGGGATTCACTATTATAGGTTGACGCATGTCTGTCTTTTTAAAATATTGTCCTCAAGCAGTCTTCCACAGTCTCTGTGTAAATTACTTGTTGAAACATATTGACTGTTGATGTTGCAACAGAAACATGTTGTGTGTGTGCTGATGTAGTTCCACGTGCTGAAATGTTTTAGCCAGACAGTTTGTTTAATGTTTTACTTGTGTTTTTTTTTGTTGTTGTTGTTTTTTTTCTAATGGATCAAAATTTTCCAGGGAGAGTGTGCAGAGTGCAGAAGTTGGTGCCATATTTGACAGGTACTTGTACAGTTCTTCAGTGTTGTTACTTTTGAGTTCATAATTTGAGTGTACGTGTTTAATAATTTTACACACTTTCTCATACTGCAGGGTTCTCACTGAGCTCGTTAACAAAATGAGAGATATGCAAATGGACAAAACAGAGCTGGGCTGTCTCCGGGCTATTGTCCTGTTTAACCCAGGTAATTTGAGAATGCATGAGCATAAGAATGGTTTATATAGATGCACTAATTGAAGCGATGCAGTCGTTTTACGATCAAGTCTTTTTAAAGGTTTCTGCTGCTGGTAGTAATTTCAGAGATCTTCGTAAAAAATGTATCGATATCGATCAAGTTGAAAATGACCAGATTCTAGTCATAAGCAGATATTTGTGCTACGCAAATAGATTTTTTTTCTCTTCATAGCTGAAATGCATCATGTAATTATTGTGCTTATTAATGTTGTTCCGCTAGATGCTAAAGGGCTCTCCAGCACAAGTGAGGTGGAGCTCCTTAGAGAAAAAGTCTATGCATCACTGGAAGCTTACTGCAAGCATAAGTATCCAGAGCAGCAGGGAAGGTACAGACATGTGCTGTGAAGTGTTGACTGGTGCATTATTTATGTTTCTGAGGGGAAAAGAAACGAATGAACCGATTTCTCCCTGCAGGTTTGCGAAGCTCCTCCTTCGACTTCCAGCGCTGAGATCCATTGGCTTGAAGTGCTTGGAGCATCTTTTTTTCTTCAAACTGATCGGGGACACGCCTATCGACACCTTCCTTATGGAAATGCTTGAAGCTCCCCATCAGTTGTCTTAGACAGGAGCCGCGTACTGTGCATTTTAGAAAGCTGGAGTCTGGGGAGGCGGGCGTGGGACTGGAGTGGCACTTTAAGTTCTTTTTAAGATTTGTCAGTTTGTCTCACTGCTGTCTGCGTTACACCTTAGTGCAGCACAGATTTGCTCTTTAGACCAAACCCAAGGCTTGGCATGACCTTCAAGCTGGTGCTATGTGTTGTCATAACGTCATGAGTTAAAAAAACAAAAAAAAAAAAAAAACTATGGTAAACACATGAATATTTTTAAGAAAAATATTTACATATTTCTCTCAGAGTGGCTATAATTTGGGTACTCATTTTTATAAGACTTTTTAAACACCTAAACTCATCTCTAATGCCTTTCTTTTTAATTCAAGAAGGATGCATCCTGAATAACGCTTTGTGAAACTTTTTTTTTTTTTAATTTAAATCAAATCTAATAATGCATCATGGTGTCCAGAAGCTCCGAATTGACAGAATCTGAACCCTGAGATTGACACCAGATTGAAATGATCCCGGATTTAAGTCTGCGTCTCGTATATACATTGCTAAGTGTTTACATATTTTCCCTTTTAAAGCACAAGTGTCAAACTCCAGTCCTGGAGGGCCCGCTACCCTGCAACGTTTAGATGTGCCTCTGCTGCACCACACCTGAATAGAATAATTAGGTCATTAGCAAGGCTCTGGAGCACTTATCTTCAAAGAAGGAGGTAATTAAGCCATTTCGTTCCAGTGTGTTGTACCTGTGGCACATCTAAAAATCTGCAGGGCAGCGGCTCTTGAGGACTGGAGTTTGACACCCCTGCTTTAAAGCAATTCAGATCTATTCCCTATTGTATTTTATGACAGGAATAAACTGCACATTTGGGATTTGTGCTACTTTTAAAACAAACTTTAAACAAACCGCCCTGGCCTTCCCGGCATTCGGGGTTGGTTCATTTGCTTGTTGTTGTGGTGCTATTTCAGAGATGATTTGGACATTACTGGTGAAGTTGCACACCAAACCATAAACCTAAGAAAATATGCAAAACTAGAAATTCCTTTTGTTGATCTTTGTTTTTAAAATGTAGCAACATAAAATACCTGCATCAGCCTGTCAGTTATTCAATGTTTTTGAAGAGATACAAATGTCCAGTGGAAAGGGAATACTCTGTGATGTAATTTATCTATACAATTATGAGGTACTGTGCTAAACAAAAGGGTCAGGGAAAATGCACATAAAAAAAATTAGAATAATTGCTAAATTCAAAGTATAATGTTATTATGCACCCTTGTTTTTAGGTGGAATAAAGCAAAATGTGTTTTGGGTTGCACTGGATTTGCTGAGACTGATCAGCTTTGTTTTGTGCCGTTTGTGATGCTTGGTTTTCCTCCCTCCTCCCCTTCATCTTTTTGTAGGTAGCTTACTTTTTCTTCATACAGTTTCTGCTGTTTAATAAAAAAATAAAAATAAAAAAAAAGCAAACCATAATCAAATTGAAACCCAGAAGACCTTGATGTACAGATGATGTAAACAAGACCAAATGAGGTCTGTGTGGGAAAACGCTGTACAGGAAAACACTACATGAGCAATATCAGCAGCCTGTCATCCACTTCTGCGCTCTTGAACTTTTAAGTAACTTGAAGCATGGGGTTTTGTGGACTAAAAGAATAAAGAAGATTAAGTTTTTCTTGCATTTTCATTAGAAGTGTCACATGTGAATTTTTTTTCTGCTTAAATCCAGTACAACTGAAGGATGATTAAAAAAAATAGTCCCAAAGGTGTTTCAGTGAGCCTTTTTATTGTTGTAGTTGGTACATATAATTGTTGTGGGGACAGATACAACAGAAGCCTTGGTTTTAATACTATTTTTGTTTGAGGTGAGATGGCACAGGCTACAGTACATATGGGCTAAAAGTAAGAAATATGAAGTGCAAGAAAATCAAAGGCTTTCAACTTGAAGTTGCTGGTTAATTTGATCGTTTTGTAAAAAAAAAAAAAAAGCAAAAAAGCAAAGTGCATCTAATATTTGAAGCTTGGAGAACCTCTATTTGTAGCAAAAAAAAAAAAAGGTTGAGTTTCTTAAAGCCAAGCATGGCTAAATTTTCTTAACTATCACAATAACACTTTCAGCTTTTCCTGAATGTCTTCACACGCAGAGCCAAAGATGGGGAAAAAAAAAACACTTGGTGAAGTTACCACTTCTAAATAATTTCTATTATTTCTCATAATTGCTAACTTGTCCAGTCTGGGTACGTTCACTTCCCTCAATTATAGGTGCATCCCAATAAATTATATCAAAAATAGAATTCAGTAATTTGTTTCTAGAAGTGCAACTTGTGGTATGCTATTACACACAGATCTATCATGTGAGCCTTCTGTTGAGTTTTGCTTGAAGCTGATGAAAACTCAAAATCCAGTTTCTCAAGAGTTTTGTTTCAAAATGGAGCTCGCCATTAAAAATGTATTTCAGAAATCTGGGCTTTTCAAAAGTACGTCCAAATACTGCAGTGTATGCACTCCATGCTGATCAGAGCCTCTGCATCAGTTCAACATGGCATGGATGTGATCCTGAAGACCAGGTTGAGTAAATTTCCTTCAGCTCATCTGCATTATTGGCTCTAATGGGTCTTATCTTCCCTTTTGACAATACATAGATTGTCTATGGGGTTTATTATTGCAGGCCAGTGTCGGCCATATTGTGGTCATCAAAACAGATGAAGGTACTTTTGGCAGTTTGGGCAGGTACCAAGGTCTGCTGCTGGAAAATGAAATGGACATCTCCGTAAAGCTTCTTGCAGAGGGAACCATTAACATTTCTAACGTTTCCTGGTGGATCGTTAGCTTGCCGACTTTGGATTCAAAGAAACACTGAAGCAGCACAAGTAAATAACATGGCTTCCTAAATCTTCACTGTTATGTCAACTTTACATTGGATCTCAACCAACTTGGACTTTTATTTTCAATTATAATGCAAAATGTACTTTCATCTACGTATAAAGACGACTTTTGAATGGGCAACAGCCCAATCTTTTTCTCCTGACACATCTAATTGCTGTAAATCCTTTACAGTGACATTTTGTCATGTAAATACATTTGCCTTAGAAATTCTAAGCTTTGTTAAAACTGAATATACTCACTCTAGTAATTGCAAAAAAGAGATGTACAGATCACAAGATGAGGTTTAGTACGCAAACATTTTACTTGACTTTAAAGTCTGGCTCAGTTTTGCATTTTCTTTAATAATGCGATGTATGTTTAAGACAGAATTTGCTACTATCTTTTTCACATATGTGTTTATTCATACTGTATTGTGCAAAAGCCTTGCGCCACCTCTAACTTTATCATACTGAACAGACATTTTAAATATGTGCAATCCTTGGTAGAAAATGTACTTATTTGAGGAAATTCGACTCTTCGAGCTCAAAATACTGTATTTCCAAATACTTTGTCAGAATAAATTTTTCTGATCCAAGTTTTCATGCCACTAGTTTTAGTAATAATGGAAAAAACACAAACACCTGCCTTTATAAGCAACAACAACAAATTTTTTAGTGTTCTTAATGGACAGTAGAATAAACTTTTGATGACGTACGGGAGTTTATATGCATCTGGTTATGATGGAGGAACAGAATAGCCAGCAGCTGAAGAGAAAAACACTGAACTGAGTGAGGAAATACAGAATATGGAGTTGAAGCGAATGCCAGTTATAAAACCTGCTAGTCCCGTGTGTCAGTTGGAATAAAACAATTACGCCACTGCTGCTTCCCTGCTTATGTTTGTTCATTTGGATGACAAAACTGAATCAGTTATATGTTATACAGAATAAGATGCTGTGCTTTTGTTTTCGATTGCCTTCGTAGCATCCAGTCTGTTTTTGCGTCCAGCTGAAACTACCAGCTGTGCTGCTGAAAGTTTATCTTGCTGGCATCTCACAAACCCTCCACAGTGAGTCAATCCAAACTATGTGCTAGTCAACAATTTTGCAGTCAGGTATAAACGTGTTCCTCCTCTTGTGACATTTGACGTTTATGACTGCAATGTGTATTTTGAACTGTTCCAGTACAATGAAAACATATTTTCTAAACATTTAGCCTTCTATAAATTCATCAAAACTTAAAATATGCATGCACTTTTTTTACTTTAGACTACTGTTATTACTTTGAGTTTAAAAAAACTACATTAGGCATTTTCTTATCTAACATTATGTTTCAAGCACTCTGCTTCTTTACACCCTGTCCAGTAATGTCTGTTCCTGTTGTGTGATTTCTAACCAGATATGCTTTCACTTCATTTCCACAGCGTGTTTGGTCTAAATGAGGAGCTGCAAAGTAAATTTAATGAAAGCCAAACTTTCCTTTCTTTTTACTGTTCATCTGCATTAAATACCTGTACAGATCTGTCAAGTAAAGTAATCAGAGGAGCCATTTTGATGTTGCTTTTCGTTGTCTTTTTTTTAACAACTTGCATCTTTGAGAATAACAGTTAAAACAAGAATGCCTAAAAATGCACCAAGAAATCATCTAGTGTTTGAAAATAGACAATTGTCATATTTTCCTGATCACTGACCTGTCAGTAATAAACTCAAAAATCAGATCTTATGCCCAACAGTGAATGCACCAGACATACACGCTACCCTGCTGCTGTAAAAAGAACAAAAAAAAAAAAAAAAAAAACATTTGGTACAGATTATTCAGAAAAGGAAACTCGAAGCCATTTTCAGTATCGGTGAAATGTTTAAAAATAAAGTCAGAGGAAGCACAAAGATTTTATCCATTCAGACTGTGAGAGAGCAAAACTTCCAGCAGTTTACGGAAAGGCTGAGCAAAATGCAGAAAAGCTTTTCCAAATCTGACTGCTTTGGAACATACTGAAGCCTTTTGGAAATTCATAGCTAAGGTGAGAATCTAGGGAATTCAGGGAATACACAATGAGACAGCCTTTTTGGCATCCGTAGTCAGGATTTTTGAAGACAAAATATACAAAAAAAGGGATGACTCCAGATTTTCACAGCAGTGTACTTAAAAAAAAAAAAAAAAAAAAAAAAAAGAAATACTCAAATATCCTTCACAGGACAAAGTGACTCCTTTAATGTTAAACTACAGTTTAGTTTGGCCAATTGTTACATCTCCTTTACCTTAATCGATCTGCATGTGCGCTAATTTTACACCAAGGCTAAATGGTAGGACTCGGATGACGTACAACTTAAAGCTGTAGAAACTACATTATCTTCATAAAGATTAAAAAAAAAGTTATTTTGCCATGATGGGTTTAAAAACATCGACTGATGAACATTAAAATAATTTTCTCATACACAAACTGCACATCTGTAGTAACAATATGTGATCACATGTCCCTGAAAGCGTCTTAATAAATAACTGTTCGCAAGGCACTGAAATGTGCAGCTCATAGTTTCTATAAAATACAACTCAACTTTAGAAAGAGTACTAACTGTTCCTGCCTCCCTTGATTACTTGCCAGCCTTTTAGTTTTTTATTTAAGAATTGATCCAACAACGCAACACTGAACATTTTGTTTCGTTATAATCTTCAAAAAAAAAAAAAAAAAAAAAAAAAAA